AGAACAATATCTGTTGTTTATGATCTCCCAGCCTTTACTAGATCTGTGTAAAAATACATGTGAAGATAAAAATGCACAAAATGTTTAATAATAATGATAATAATAAATAAATTATTAGCCATAATTCAACAAAAGAATGGCCTCTATTTTTGGAAAGATTTCCCTATTTAGTGTTCATGAAATCCTTATAAACAACTCCGATCTTCTCAAAAAAGTTCAGGCTTAGGTTGATTTAAGCTCTGTAAACTACATCCACTAACACTTTCTGGAAGATCCTGTGGTGTTCCCAAGAAAAAATGGATGTACTTGTCCTCCAAAAAGTTATGCCCTATCATCGGTTCTCTATTGAGAAAGTATCTCCTAGAATGCACCCAAGAGACACACTAAACAAATCTGAATCTGAACTGTCTCAAAGGAGCAGCATCTTTATCCCTAAACTGTTGAAAGGACTCCATATCTGTGTTCCATCTCTAAGGAAGAGCCATAAAGAAGTCATTTTCTGTTTTTTTGTTTTCAGGTTTATTTTTATGTGTATAGGTGAGAGTTAGATTATATCACATATTCTGTTAAACTGAAGACCTTGCCTTCTGTTTCTTTTGCTCTTCATATTAATGTTTTTGTGCCTTATATCTACAGTCGAAATTTTGTCTGCTCCTAATCAAAAGCTAAAACCTGCACCCTGTGACAACAAAACCCTCCCAAGTATGAACAAAAACAATGAGTCTTTGATCCAATTTTAGGTAAGGCAGAAAATATTTATTTAACCACCTTGAATTGTGTTTATAATTCATAAGGAGACGTTAATTACATGAAAGATATCAGGTTAGGTCAGTAGGTTCTACTCATCTATTATCAGGCAAAAGGACACTGGTACAAATAATGTTATGCAGTTTGCATTTATGATAATCAGATGAAAGTTATTTACATTTTTACTATCATTAGGAAAACATATATAAAAATCCCAAGGTTTAAAACAGATTTCCAGGCAAAGATCATATTTATCAACTAGGGACCAGGTGTAATATCTCCTGCATCCTTTATTTGAACCTCTATGTCTATTGGGAGGCCCCGTCTTTGCAGCTCTCCTTTGATCTAGAGCAGGAAACACATATAATCAGCCCCACTTCATAAAAAGAGAAAGTCACACAGAATAAAACTTAACTGCATTTACATGTTAAAACTCTACAAACTACAAAGATAGCAAACCAAAGCATGAAACATAAAAAAAACTAATTAGTTTATTACATAAACAGTCGAATCTGTGAAAGAAAAAATAAAGAGAATCATCATTAAAATCAGTCAAATAGATTACTGACCAGTTCTATGATAGTTGCAGAATCATGCTCCAGTGATAGTGTAGTCAAAATCTTTGCATTCAGAGCCAGGATATAATCTGGAAGCACAGAGAGTCAACATTATTATTTCACCACTTAACTGGCCACACCAAAACCACCAAAAGATATTTTGAAACTGGATTTGAAACTGGATTCCAAGTGACAGTCCGCTCAATAGCTCCTCAGGGTCCAACCAAGTCTTAACCTGTCCGCCCTCCAACAAGTCTTTTCCTTTGCATAAACCCACACCGACTGGATTCTTGGAGGAAAGTTTTCTTCACTATCTCCCGGTTCACCAGTACATTGAGTTTCCTGAATCCTACCCCCGCTGATCTTATCAATAAACCTGTTAAAACTTTGACCCTGGTTCTCTGAGTGGTTTACTGCATATGGGTCAGATCCCTCAAGAAAATTTTGAAAGCTGTAAGAGCTAAAATCACACCATTAGGGTCCCTTGACTGTGCTTACAGTATGCAAACTAAATATGGCATAATCAGGCTTCATCAGCCTGTAATCAGGCTCATGATTTTTCATCTCTGTTAACTCCTTACGTAGCCTAATCCCCACTGCTGTTGTGATATGAGTGAAAAGCAAGCAACATAACAAGAAAAAACTATAGCTGTTGTTTATAATTTCAGTTCAACTCCTCATTTCTTTTTTGCTCTAGCAATGAGCAAAGTAGCCAGGTGGTAGATTCACCCTGACTTCACCCACAAAACCAACCAAACACAGGATAATTCAAGCAGTGAGTAAGTTAAAGATTCAGCTCGGCAGACGCTTGCTTATACTTTCTAAAGGTGGCAAAACACAGTTCCTTTAGTCTTAGTGAATGTGTAGAAAAAATGTAATTCAATTCAGTTTATCTATATAGTAAACTGGCATAAGCTAGACTGATATGTGTAATTAATTCTGAATTCTACAAGTATCCATTTGGAAATCCTCCTGCAGAATGTGTTTGCAAAAGGAACGGACTTTAAGTACAATTCTTCAAGCTAATTGGCTACCTGCCTCCCATGTTGTGTTTTAATAAATTTTACCAAAAATAATAAATGATACCAAAAAAGTCTCTTTCTTAAACAGCCATTTCAGGTCCTCGACATCTAGTTTCCTGCATCTTTTGAATGAGTTTCTGCTTCAATACACCTAAGTAAACCAATCAAGTCATTAGCAGGACTATATAAAACTTGACTGCATACCGAGAAGGTAACTCGTGCATTTGACAGATCTACAAGGTGCAGAACACCAGACCTCAAGGACTGTAACAGAGGAATCCTGCAGAACATCAACTTCTGTCACTTACATGGTTCTGGGGTCGGTGTGGCACTCGGGATTGCCGTAGTAGGTGTGAGCAGAGATGTAGCTGTAGGAGGCATCATAGTGGGGGGTGGTTGAGTCGTTACATTGAAGATGGGTCTAGATGGGCCTTTGGAGGGAGCAGTAGATTAGCAGGAATAAAATGAGCTAAGGAATAAGCAGATGAAACTTTAAAAAAAAAAACCTTTCCACTCACTCTCCCCAGTCGTTACAATAATGCATCGAAGATCTGACTGGTAAACAGAGTTGGAGGAACTGAGGAGGTAATTAAAAACAGCTTTTATATGAAACTGCTAATATAATCACTAATTGTTTCAGTTTAATAAAGTAAGAAAACTGAAATTTAGTTGTACTCAATCGGGTTTAACAGTTACAGTGCCAATTAATTGCACATACATCTCAAGGCACTTTACAGAGACAATTCAACCAGATCATACAGTCAGATCGTAAAAAGTTTGTGGAAAACCAGCTGACTGCATTGATTTGTTCACTCATGGGACACATTACTCCTGGATCAGCAAGTGTTGAAAGTCACTTCCATTTTATCGATGGGTCTGCAGCAGCATTCTAGATGCATAAAAAAGGGACATAGAAGCAATGATCCATAAATACTTTCTATCTTGGAAACAGTTACTTTTTTTAGGTAACTTGCCCAGCACTGCATACTTACATGCAAGTGATTTAAAAAGTTCATGGGTCCTTTGTATGTATCTTTTGTCTTCAGGCATAGTTTATTGTGTGGAAATAGCAAAACTGTATTTCTATTAGACCAGCTCCATTTATAGTACTACTTAATTATACATTTTGCCACTCTTTAGTTTAACTTTTTACTGCCCTTCCTCTGTGGCTTAATCAGAATACCTTAAAATTATAGCTCTAGTTTATGCTCTTAGATCCCATTCCTTTACCTTTTTCAATGGTCAACAGCAAGAACTTTAACCAGAGTCCTTAATGCTTCATGGATGTCATGATGAATGATGCTGGTCAAATTAGGCCTACAGACTGCCAGAAAAAAACTACAAAAATGTTGTGCAGGATGAAGCTCTCAGTTAAAAAAAACCCAAAATGTATGAAAGGGATTATATTTGCATATGTCACACAGAGTGAATACAACAAAATAATGTATTCTATAAACTTCCCCCACATTTTGGTTTATTGCTGGCAGGGACATAGCTACGGGCTCAGCTTTTACTCTACTTGTATATGTTCTATTTCATCTCTTTGAAAAGAAAACTCACTTGAAGCTTGTCTTCTTAACTGTTTCTTTACTTGGAGCCTTCTATGGAGATAGTTTACAATTATCTTTTCTAATATAGAAAATATTTATGGATAAACATCTATGCTCGTTTTGTATGTCAGCTTCGGTCTCTTTGAACGCCCAGTCAGCCTCAGTAGTTCCCATTCACAATGACCCTGGTACTGCAGGTTTCTTCCTGTTTAAAGGGAGTTTTTCCTCTTCACTGTCACTGCATGCATGCTTAGGGTGAGGGATTGCTGTAGAATTAACAAACTCTCAGTTTGCTGCTCATCCAGGAGCAGCAAACTGTAAAGTCAATGACTGGATAGAATCAGCCGGACTTTCTTACATACTGTAGAAGCTTTTAACCAATCCGCACATTTGATCTGATTGAAATATCTCTGTAAAGTACCTTCAAATAACATTTGTTGTGAAAGGATTTTATATAAATATATATAAAAAATATATATATTTATATATATATATATAAATAAACTGAATTGAACTTACTGCTATTCCTTTTAAATTATATGCACTTGTTGCTGTCAATTATCCTTAAATCTAGGTAATAAACTGAACTGTTATTATTCAACTGTTTATATTTAAGACAATTTTTAATCAATTAATGAAATGAGATAAAAACCAACTTTGCTTGAGCAACAAAGCAGAAAGTGTGGCTGCGTCCTCCATCACTCTCAGATGGTGTCCACGTTAGGGTAAAATTTCTTGATCCTAATGAACTTTTGGTTACACCACTTGGACCACTAAACAGGAGCTTGGTGATCCTTTGATGAATATGAGAGGCACAGATTGTTAGACAAATAAATCAAAGGTTCCAACTTTCACACATTACACTAATTAATGGTACTGGCTGATTTGTTTCTTTGAAATCATAATCCCTGTGCTCTGACTGCCACGGTTGCTTTATTTGGGATTTTTCACAGTTGTTTATTTTTAGGTTCAGTAAAAATGTCCACTGGAAATATGTTTCTTGAATATTTAACAGAATACATGTAACTAAACTGTTTAGGAATTCATTAGTACATCAAGCTAAATTAAATATTAAACAAATTTCCTGAGGTGTTGACAAAAACCCATCTGTAACTAGAGAACATTTTTGTGACAATCACTTACATAGCCGTGGTTGCTGCAACCTTGATGTTGATTTCCACAGTCTGAGAAACATTGGTGTAGATCTGAGCTCCATTTTCAGGTGTTGGAGGCAGGAACGTAGGCAGATACAGACCTTCAGTGCAGGATGGTACTGCAGGATCCACTGAATCAAATGATAAAATGGAACAAATTTAGCCAAGTTGACAGGAGCAGGTCATGGTGGTGACCAATTGGAAAACTTAAAAACTTAGAAGATTTAGAAGATTATTAAATGTAAATATATACAGTAAAGTGTATATATATATATATATATATATATATATATATATATATATATATATATATATATATATATATATGTGTGTGTGTGTGTGTGTGTGTGTGTGTGTGTGTGTGTATAAGAAGAAAAAAACAAACCTTTTCTAAATCACTGCAGCCCTAGCTGACTTAAAAGAAATTGATCAAACTGTGCTGTACCTCTGAAAACAAACTGGACTGGAATCTTGCTGATGGCATTGCTGGTATTTTTCACCTCCTCTGAACCACTGCTATTAGTCAGAGTGATGGTCTGTCTGGGAAAGTCCTCAATAATGAGCTGCACTGCATATGGACCTTCAGCACTGCTATTAGTGGGGCTGAATGACAGAGTACAAGACTGCAAGAGGACAAACAGGAGAAAAAAAGGATCAAAATTAAGACTCAGCCAGAGGATTATATATTTTACTTATTTTTCCTTATTTTCTTGTTGATAAAGTAAAGCATGATAGTGCTTCTCTGTGATCAGTTTATGGATTGGTAGAAGTTTGCAAGCAAATATGAAAATGACACAATTCTTTCTTACCCATTGTTCTCATATATAAAGGGCGTGTATATATATATATATATATATATATATGCATTGTAAAAAATAATGTTTGTTTGACCTCGTGCACACCAAATTAAAACAAAAAAAGTAAAGAAATCCATCTTTTTCCATTTTCATACATTTTTGAAAAGGCTCCAAGGGGGGCGCTAAGGAGTTGCATGTGGCTTGTCTACCCCTGATCTGCAGAAAGTACTGCCGAATCCATCCACCATCCAGATGATGATGAGTGAACCAAAGTGACTATCTTTTGCAGCGCCTCTTGGGCTTTTCTAAAAATGAATGGTCTCCCCAAGCTGATTCAAAGGTTGTGCATAGAGAACAATTTAGCAGAAGATTGTAATATGTTGCTGCGCCTGTTAATGTTTTTGTTAATAATAATTTATTACTAATATTTATTCTTCTTTTAGCTATTACAAATTTCCACATTTAATTAATTGTATGTCCAAGTAAAGGGAAATTGTACTGATAACATCAGTATCTTTCCTGTGCCATCTTTGAAATAAGTGATGTTTTTTTGTAATTGTTGTTAGGCAATTTATGTTTGTACTTCAGCCTCAACTCTTTTGTTCAAATTACCCAATTCACTTGAATGCATCTGCCTTGTGCTCATAATGTGTAAATCACTGGGAGATAATAATAAATCAAACATTTTTGTTAAGTTAGACTAATTTGTTTTTGAAACTGCAGTTTGTGTAATGCCAAAACTGATACTTACTGATGAAAGACTGAGGACAGACGGCGGTGTGCAGTTAATACACTCTGAACCAGCTGCATATCTGCATCTAATCTCATCTCCATTGGGATCAAAAATCAACAAGTTGATGTTTCTCTGACAGTTTGAAGGAGCTCTGAAAATGAAAACCAAATACCTGAGCTTCACATTTCCTCATTTCTTTTGCAGTCATTTGATGGCTTAGCTTAAAAATAAACCTGTCAGTCTAGTTCCCAGGGTTTCCACGGGTTTTTCACTTTTCTCATATTCTATTTCCTTTTTCCCTAATAGAAAAAGCTCAACAACATGATTTAAGTTTTATTAGTCAGCAGGCTCTTTTTACAGAACAAACCTATTTAAGAATTTCTCACTGATCTGTCTCAGCTCAGTTGTTTTAAATAAAATTGTGTTAAATTGCGTAACATTTAAAGTAAGCAATCAAAAATTGGAAAATTATTTTTTTTTTCAGGTTTTTATCACTTTTATGATCATTTGCTTCATTTAACTGTCTGCTCTTTTTTTGAGTCAATGATTCATAATGTTTTATCTGGATATGCTGATGAGGAACATAAAACAAAACGAGAAATCATTTAAAGAATTTGTTATCAAACACATTCCATTTCTAACTAGTTTAAACATTATAAAAGAAAAAAAAAGCAGAGTTACCGTAAAAGAGGGATGATGGTGGTCTGCGGTGAGGAGTTTGGTTTGTTGATATCAGAGCGGTTTCTCAAGTCAAAAAGCAACGGTATTAAAGATAATCTTACACCATTTCTGTTTTCTGTCCAATTTGCATTAGGAAACCTACAGTGGATGATAGGTTTTGCAATATTAAAGGGAAATAATAAAGCACATAAAACCAAATCCCAGAGGATCTACAAAATCCATTTTTTTTTCCATCAGCTAATTTTAACAGATATCTCTTCCTAAAAACAAAAACAAAAAAGACAGCAAAACCAAACAATATGAATGAATGTAACTGACATGTAGAAGTTTAGGAGATGAACTAGGCTTCAAAGTGTAAACATTGGAAAGTAGGTTTACATTTAATGTTAAAGACTTACAATTCATTGTATACAGTCTGATATGAAGTGTAGTAAGCCACAACATGTCCTCTCTGACACCACTCATCTCTGCTTTCATCAATTGCATGAGATGTAAGCCCAGTACAGTTTCCAGAACAATTTGAAGAGTTGAAGTACAGACATGAACTGTAGCCCAGCTTAAAATCATATGTTAGCTGTAGAATTAAAGAATACAGTGTGTAGATTATTTCACTTTCAAAAGAAACTTTGCAAAAGACATTTAACTTACTGAATAGAAACTTTGCTGATGGTCTCCAACATAATAAGTATAAACAATACCATAATAAGCAGTCTGTGCTCCACTGCCTAGCAGCAGCAGCGCAGACTGCAACATAGTGACTAATCGAAGGTCTCTGAAAAGGACTGAGGCATCAGAGACGAGTGAAATTATATTTAACAGACAGCCTCTATGGGTGTGTCCTGGAAGATTTAGAGATATGTCTTAGTAAAATGAAACAGAAGCTGGTATGAGAAAAATGTCTGATGGCTGAAAGATTACTTTCAAATGTGAAAAAAAGAGTTATGTGATTTGGAGTACAGTAGCTGCAACAATCATAAACCTCTAATTTATAGATAGGAAGTCATTTTGAGGGAATTATTTATAAACAGATTTTGAAACTTCGGCCATCATTTTTTATAATGCTTTCAAACCTTCCCCAAGTGTTGAAAAAAATGTGTTCACTCGCAGTCAGGTCCGTCCAGCTTCACAACAGACTTTAAACTCGCCCATCAGCACAGCCATATACTCTTGTCCACATTCCAGGTGAGCTGCTGTTCATCTCATACACACCTAGTGATGCTTCGATCTGATAAGAGCCCACACGATAAGTGATACCCATAAGAGGAGAGGGAGATATGGCTGTTTCTATTAATAACCCCTTGTGTAGCTAAGAACACGTTACGATATAAATAGATTTTCCTAAAATCTGCTACCTGTTGTATTTCGGCTGCATATGGAACAAAATGCAGGACTTTGTTGTAATTTATCACCATAATTAACACCGTTCTGTACCTCAACTCCCAACGGGACACGCAAACTTGTGTAAACAGACATCATCACATAAATGACACTCAACAGCTTCCATCATATGTATCACATGGCATTTTGTCTGAGCCTTTTAGAAAAGGCAATATCCCAAACTGTACTTTATTTTAGTTTCCTAAAAACACTCCTAAGATGGCACCATTATCCTTGGCCATGGTCACATGTCATACATACAGGCCATAGACCTGGCTTAACATTTCTTTTTCAGGTGAGTTGATCAGGGCTATGGCTTCTGACCTCTTCTTTTTGTCATCTGAGGAGGACAAAGACACCTGTGACCCCTGTTTCCATCCAGGGGGTTCCTGTTGACACTGTGGAGGAGTATAAGTACCTGGGAGTGTACTTTAACAATAAGTTGGACTGGACTAGAAACACCGAGGCGGTCTACAAAAAGGACCAAAGCCGACTATTCTTCCTGAGGAGGCTGAAGTCCTTTAACATCTGTGGGACAATGCTGAGGATGTTTTATGAGTCAGTTGTTGCTAGCATGCTCTTCTTTGCTGTCACATGCTGGGGCAGTGGGCTGAGGGTCACTGAAAACAACAGACTGAACAAACTGATCAAGAGGGCCGGTGATGTTGTGGGGGAGCAGCTGGACACCTTGACCACCGTGGCAGAGAGGAGGATGCTGTCCAGGTTTCAGTCCATCTTAGACAATTACTCACATCCTCTCCATGACCAGTGTTGGGCACGTTACTTTGAAAAAGTAATTAGTTATAGTTACTAGTTACTTCTCCCAAAAAGTAACTGAGTTACTAACTGAGTTACTCCACAATAAAAGTAACTAGTTAATAGTAAAAGTAACTATTGCGTTACTTTTGCGTTTCTCGCCCCCGTAAACCTCACCACCCAGCCCCCACCTTCTCGCCGTGTGTTTCCAAAGCCAGCTGAATAGAGCGGATGACAAAGACAAGAACCTGCAGAGAGTTTAGCATTTATTGCAATTCAACGTAAATGACATCAGGGGGGAACGCGATGTGAAGTTTTTTAACAGGGCATTCAGATCTGGTGAAATTAATAACTGGGGATGTCTAATTCTGAAATCCTGTGTGTTTGGGTTGTTATAGATACTGCAACATCTATCTATCTAGATGTATACTCTGCGTGTGACATAAGATATGGATCTCCATCCCTGCCACAAAGGCCATCAAATAATGTTTAAAATAAAAAATACAGTAGGTTGAAAAGTCAGAGTATCCATCCATCCATCCATCCATCCATCCATCCATCCATCCATCCATCCATCCATCCATCCATCCATCCATCCATCCATCCATCCATCCATCCATCCATCCATCCATCCATCCATCCATCCATCCATCCATCCATCCAGATTTCTCCCTTTCATTTGATCGTTCACGCTCTCCATAGTTCTCCTGTGGCGCGAGCACAGGGCGACTGTTGCGCGCCTTTAGCGAGCATGCGCGTTTCCTGTCGCTTGCGCGGTGAATCTTGCCGCCTGCGCTGTGCGGAGATGCAGAGGAAACCGTATATGATGGGGAAACGCAGCTCGACGTGACACTGGTATTTCCATCAGGAAAACGCTGTTTTGCTGCTGGATCCTCCTCACTCTCCATCTCTCTGTGTGTGCTGTACGTTAACACCCGCCAGCCGAAACACCCACCTACCCAACTGACAGACGGAATCTCACTATACATCAGCCATTCTCATCCTCCCCTCTCTCATGACAAGGCGCGCAGCTCTGGATGACCTAAAAAATAATCTTTAATATCTCTTAAACAAAAGTAGCACAAACAATATTTTTTTTCTGCACAAATCTGCACTAACGTTGCACTAACCATTCAGTCTATTTGCAGAGTTTTTTGACGTGGGTGGGGTGTCAGCTTCACGCAGCTGCGCACGAGTCCTATCATGAAAAAAGGTTAATTGTGCGACCTGAGTAACGCGCAGTAACGGGGTGTCTGCAATGGTAACTGCGTTATAGTTACAGTCAAAGTAATTAGTTAGATTACTCGTTACTAAAACAAGGTAACGGCGTTACTTTCAACGCCGTTAGTCCCATCACTGTCCATGACACACTGGTCCAGCAGACGAGCTCCTACCCAGATGCACCACGGAGCGCCACAGGAAATCATTCCTACCTGTGGTTATCAACCTATATACGGCCTCCCTCTAGTGATTCATTAAAGTATTTCTGATTCTGATACTGAAATATGCTTTTTCATTTGTTGAACACTTAAATAGGATTCTTCCTGGTCAAAATCACTTGCCTAGTTGGAACTGTTATCATAAATACATTTCTTAAATTACATTTGACATTTTAAAATGAAATTCAAAATGTCAAACAAAATGGTTCCAGTAAGAATATATATATATAAAATATATTTGCATGCTATTTAGATATGTGGTGGGTGCCGGTTATTTGTACTGACCTGCATGTGTATGTTGGGACGGGGCTGACAGGCTTGAAATGCAGGTGAGGCTGTGGTCAATTCTACTGTAATTGCAGTGTTTGAATGTAAAGTGTTGTTATACAACTTACAAGCATTAAAGTTTGTGACTTTCATTTTGAAAGGTGTATACTCTTTTATGTAGGAGGTCCCAGGTCCTGCTGCCTGGTTACAGAAAATAGTTACTTGAAAAATGGGCTGCCAGAATGTGATATTCTGTCCAAGTGTTTGCATAAATTACTACATGGTTGCTTTTCTACAAAAAAAGAAAAAATTTAGTTATTATTGCTTCTATCCATTCTCCATTATATTTGTTATCCTATTTATTACATGCAGAGCATGAAATTGCCACCACCCTCAAACCAAAAGCAGATAACTTTTGTGATCGTGGGTTAAACTGTCCCTACCTGCCAATAAAAATAATAACTGAACTTTATTGATCTCACACTGGAGAAATTTTACCTCTGCATTTAACCCAACCCCTTGGGGAGTAGTGAGCTGCCATTGTGTGGCGCCCATGGAGCAGTGTGGGGTTAAGGGTCTTTGCTCAGGGAACCAGAATGGAGGCTGTGGGGTTCAAACAGGATATTTGCAGCCTTCTTAGAGCACAAGTGCACTGCTCTAACCATTAGGCCAACACTCCCCACTTAAAACAATACACAACACTGAGCAAGTGCTGTGTTGCTGGCTAATCATGTAGCCTGTTGTTTTTTTTTAGCAATGCAATTGTACGTCTTACTTTTTGTCTTCCTAATTCTATTTTAAAACATGTTAAAATGTTTATTGCTGTAATAGAAAGAACAGAGTCAGGGATGAGATGGACCAGAGGCGAGCAGCAGAGACAATGCAGGTTCTGCACAGGTGAATAAAGAATAAAAGTAGCTGAGAAAAACAAAAATAAAGCATAATCATGGGTTAATAGTTAGGTTTAGGATAAATTCCACTGCAATTTTTACTCTTCCTAATGCTATTTAAAAAAAAAAATCTCATTCTTTTTTATGTTTATTGCCATTATAGAAAGATTAGGGTGAGGAAGCAGATGGACCAGAGGCCAATAGCAGGAAGAATGATGTTGGGTCTTTATATTAAGGAGAGATTATAATTTCATGAGAATATCTATTGCAGGGAGAAACCAGGCAGGTATTAGGAAAAGGCTTTCACAGATATTTTACAGGAAAGATGAAATTGAAAACGAGAGTGTCACTGAAAAATCTGTCCCCTCATTTTTGAAATTATGGTTAGGTTATGCTCCTGGGATTATGGTTTGAAATCTGTCAATTTCATTATGACCTCTGCCAAGGTTATGTTTGTACGAAGTGTTTGACTGCCTATGTGCAGGATAACTTCAAAAGTTATGGATGGATTTTATTGAAATTTCTATCAGGGGTGACATTTTGGTGATTATCCAGATCATAATATGGATGTAGAATTTTTTTTAAAGATTCTCTAACATTGTGATATATATGGCAGAACAAGCAGTGACTACTGACGACCTCAGCGTCGCACTCAAAAAGTCCAGAGGTATTTTATTGAAGACAAAAACACAAGAAAAGGGAATGTTGTTTGTTAACAGGATCAATTGAAAACTTATAAATAGATTTTATGGAATTTCATTACCAGAGGTCTGCCTCATGTCAAGGAACACTATTATTTTTTATAATATTTTTTATCTTTATTTGTTACACTTCATATATTGATGAGATCTTATGTCAGAAATGGGGGAACCCAAAAGTTTTGTTTGGAACCTCTCTTTACTGAGGGAACAATTTCTCCCCTTCCTCAATTATTGTTGTGGAAAAAACACAGCAAAGTCAATTAAAAGACAGAACATTTTTTTTTATTTACAGAGAGCTCTAGAATCTGATAAAATTAAGCAGTTACTTAAAACTAAAAGAACAATTGAAAGTTTATCAATAAGCAGATTAAAAAGATTTATCCTATTCATGAATGTACTGATTTTCTGATTGTACTGTAGTTCAAATCATATATATATCATATCAGGCCTACTGAAATTCATGACTTTTATCAAAATCAGGTAATGAAATCTCTGGTTACAATGCGTCCCTTCTCCATGTAATGATTTCGAGAAAATATGATCTTGAATAAATTTTAATGGGTGGCCAGGAGAAGGCAGCTATCACTTTACTTTCATAGAGCTGTTGTTCATCAGGCGTACAGATATGCCTGGCGGAAAACCTTTTCTCAATAGTTCTTCTTTAACCTGGAGAAGGAAAAAAAAAACAATATTTAGCTGGGATTTAAACAGACTTAAATCAGTTATTGGATCAGAAACCAAAAATAAAACTATATTCCAAAATGTAGGATTCAACAGCAGTAAAGAAGTTAAACTGTTTTGGTTTACATTTATTTCAACATATGTTGGTATCACAATTATGGCATAACCAAAAGCCAACATGTAAATTTCACATTAAAATCCACTCATGTCATAATTTCCAATGGAAAGCTGGAAAAATTCTATGATAAGTGAGTTGGCCAGATGAGCTAAACTATGACCGTTCAACATGGCGGGCAGCATAAAAATTATTCTGTATGGTGAATAATGCATCGTTAGGCAATCTCTCCTGTTGTATTTGTAGCCTACACAATTCTAGAGCATGTATATTTTTAAAAATATACCACCATTTAAACTTGTGTCGTTTTTAAAATGGCCGTTTTTCTTTGATGTTCGAGAGCAGTCAGTCGATGCATTTAATGCATCATGTGCTTCCTGTAGCAGATTAACCAGGAAGTCTAACTGTCTTGCCCAAGTAGCAGGTCAGGATAATCTTGTGATCAAACATGTTTCTCTTCCACAACAAAAGCACCTGAACATAATGCACTGGTCATTTCCACTGTAAAAGTGGTAAAGATCATCTGTACTCTCAGGGGCGGAGCTAGATGGCCCTCAGCCAATCATTGGCCACCCCTACCATTTTCTCCCCTCTAATACAGATAGTGGCAACAGTAATACTCTCAAGTGGAATATTCAAAACATTTTTTTTGTGGTTAATTATACACATAAATATACTAACATAAATATACTAACATCAAAAATGATAAATACAGAATTCATGCTCTTTTCAAAACTATATTTTGTGTTATATGGAGTAAAGAGAAAAGGGTCTCTGCAAGTCTCTGGTAGTCTTCAGTGAAATTATAGATAATAACGATTTTAAGAAAAACGTATTAAATAATCAATTTAAGTAGATATTAGTACATGTAAATATCAATTTTATGCAATTGATACAAGTAGGTAGGTAATGACAATGAAAAAGATTTATGCCCCAGATCTCAAAACTGAAAGGATTTTATCCACTCTACCTTTTATTTATAAACCATGGAGGTTTAAATATATGCGTCTATCTGTTAGCAAAGGCTGTAGGAAAGTATAGTTTGTCTTTATTAAGAAAATATGGATGTTTTACTCGTTATTTTTCCTGTTGGAACAGTGTAGATAGACCCTGAGGTTCTGGTGTCGATCTGAATTCGGCCACCCCTCAGTGTACGTTGGTTATTTCCTGGCAACCCTTATTAAAATCTTCTGACTACGCCTCTGTGTACTATACCACATAATTACAGCATTGGTTACAGACCAGATTTTCAATGACGTCACGATTATCCTTCAGTGACAGCGTAGTGGAAATCTTCATTCTCAGAGCATTAAGAAAGATTGGTTTTGGTTCTGGAAATCACAGCAACAGCAGAAAAAAGTGGAAACACATTCAGTTAAGACATTTTATTTAAGGAAGAGCAAACAATGGTCAAACATTAGACTTACTTTTTTTAACTGTCACAACGACACATCGAAGCTCAGACTGATACACAGAACTGCTGTAACTGTGGAGGCAGATTTGAAAAATACCTTTATTATGGCTTTGAAGATTCTTATTATAAATCAGGTTTTATTATGCAGATTTATTTCATTCATCAGCTTAGGATCTTTTCAAAAATGCTCTCTAGAAAACTTTGAGTTGTATTGGACAGGATATTACTTGCAAATGTAGTCTTAAACTCATATACAGGGTGAACAGAAGTGTAGCACTGTGGTTATCATTACTAGTTATTCAGTCTTATTTTCCTTTTTGAAGGCAGTCTGGCTGCAATTCAAGGTCATTTTTCCCCCCAGGAGACATAGAATGGCCTTTGGGAGAGGCGGAACAGTTCCTGGTGGTCTTAGCTTAGGTGTTGGCCCAGTAAGTGCTTACCAGCATAGCCAATTTAAACTACTGTAGGTAAATAGGGAGTTATGTTGATCCACTTTGAGGGACCTAAGGCTTGGATGGAAAAACTTTAACTAGTCTCTCTGTATAATTTGATTGAATGGTGTCTGTAAATTGCCTGGGGAAAAGTTGAGATGTGTCGTGGATTGGTGCTATTTAAATAAAACTGAATTGAAGTGCATTGAAGTCCAGGTGAATCTTCAAAAATTGTGCAAAACAAAGATTTCTCCCTCTTTGTAAGCTCAATCACAGGGCAAAAAAAAAAAAAATTAATGATTTCAACATAAACACATTAAAGATGGCCCTTTATGAGAATGTTTAATTTACTATATTATCTAATTCATTGAGATGGTAATACTGACCTTGCCTGGATGGCAAAACAGATGGGGTGACTCTCTTCTTCATAAGCTGCAGATGGTGTCCATGTCAGAGAGAATTCTCCTGATCCAAAAGAAGTCTTTACCACACTGGATGGCCCGCTGTACAGGAGCTCAGAGATCCTTTATGAAACAGGAAATATTAAGAATTGTTATGTGATTCTGACGTTTTACTTTTTATGTTATTTCTGAACTGGAACCTTTGTCAAACTCCATGTAAATATAAATACACAGAGACAAGGAGGAAAAAAAAAAAGTAGAATCAGAGCCAAACATGCATTTTTTTTTAGAGCCACTCATTAGGTCGTCCCATTTTAAGGAGCCATTGGGTATATGGACAGGTAGTATTTTAATGTGGAAAAGCTTAAATAACACTGATCTATGGAGTGAATTTTCTGCCAAAACTTTGCATATAAAAAAGCATGTTGCGCACACACATAAAGCATGTTGCACACACAAAGCATTTTTCACACAAAGAAATCTTATCACTCACAAATAAGCATGTTGCACTCAAATAAATCTTATTGTTCACAAATGAAACTTGTGTTACAAAGTTGTTGTGCAAATACTTTCAAAGGATGTGTTGCCTCCTAGGTGTTATTGAGTTCTAATCTGCTTCTATTGATGGCTTCCATGTTTGTAGCCTGCTTCTCTTTTTTGCCACTATAAAACACCGATGAACTCTAACATAGTTGGTCCAGGAACCATGAAACAAACACAAGCTACACTTTGCACAGCACTACTTCATAAAAGTTGTTAGAGAGAGAAAACTTCACGTAGAGATTGATTTAGAGGTACAATTGTTTGATTTCGTCCTGAGTGACTAGTGAGAGTGATTTTGTCAGCTTTGCTGTAAATTCCCCCTTAAAGCCATTTACTAAAAAAAACGTTGATTACAGTCTCTGGTCCAAATCTTCTTTACTTGCTTTCTGTTTTATCACTGCAATGTACTCCCTGTAAGGCTTCTAACATGGAGTAATTTACATTTTTTTCTTACCAAGACACAACAGGTAGTCTACTACAAGTCTAGGTCAAATGTCTGCAAAAAAAAACATCTCTAAACAAATGCCTCCTGGGAGAACAATCTTTTATTTTGTTTGGATTGACTCTATTTTCATGCATTTTGCATTTACTTACACAGAGTGTGCCGCAGATGCTCTGATGTTGATCTCCAGAGCCTTATCAACGTGAGTGTAGAACTGTGCTCCATGGCCCGGAGTTGGAGACAGAAATCCTGGCAGATAATATCCTTTTGTGCAGGATGGTACTGCAGGATCAACTGGAAAAATAAGCTTATTTAGAAGAGTAATTGATTTTTGGAATAGAGTGTATGACATACAGAAATATAGTGCATGACATAAACATTATGTCTGCATGCTCATAACTGTAAATATTGAATGAAACACTAAAATATGACAGTAGCATGGTTATAAACTGGCAACCATGTGATCAGCTTGTACCTAGAAAGCCAAATTGGATGGGTATCTGGCTGATTGCTTCACTGGTAGATTTCACAATGTAGGATCCATTATTATGAGTCAAGGTGATTGACTGTCTGGGGAAGTCTTCCATCACCATTTGGACTGCATACCAACCTTCATTACTGGTTGAGGTTCCACTGAATGACAGGGTACAAGTCTGGAATAACAATACAAAAAAAGTGATTACTAAGACACTACTAAGACATTGTAAATATGTAGTTTCTTTCTATAGTTACTAGTTACTTCTCCCAAAAACTAGCTGAGTAACTCCACCATAAAAGTAACTTGTTACTAGTATAAGTAACTATTGCATTACTTTTGTGTCTTTCGCCCCCCATAACCCTCACCATCCGGCCCCCACCTCTACTCATGGGCTTTTAAACCCCGTCAGATAGCGCTCGCCCTGCTTAACATGGGGGGAACGGTATCTGATGCAGTGTAAATATCATCATTACCTCTACTCATGGGTGTGAAGTTTTTTAACAGGGCGTTCAGATCAGAGTGTATAAAATTGATAACTGGGGATGTCTAATTCTGAAATCCTGTGTGATTGGGTTGTTATAGATACTGCAACATCCATCCATCTATCTATCCATCTATCCATCTATGTATCCATCCATCCATCCATCCATCCATCCAGATTTCTCCCTTTCTCCATATAGGCTAAAATTTGATTGTTCATGCTCTCCGTAGTTCTCCTGTGGTGCGAGCACAGGGCGACTGTTGCGCGCCTTTAGCGAGCATGCGCGTTTCCTGTCGCTTGTGCGGTGAATCGTGCCGCCTGCGCTGTGCAGAGATGCAGGGGAAACCGTATCTGATGGGGAAACGCAGCTCGACCTAACACCGGTATTTCCATGTGGAAAACGCTGTTTTGCTGCTGGAGTCATCCCCACTCTCCATCTCTCTGTGTGTGCTGTACGTTAAGACCCAGCAGCGGAAACACCCACCTACCCAACTGACAGACGTAATCTCACTATACATCAGCCAATCTCATCCTCCCCTCTCTCATGACGAGTCCTATCATGAAAAAAGGTTCATTGTGTGACCTGAGTAACGTGCAGTAACGGGGTGTCGGCAATGGTAACTGCGTTATAGTTACACTCAAAGTAATTTGTTAGATTACACGTTACTAAAAACGGTAACGCCGTTAGTAACACCGTTACTGTCAATGTTGTTACTCCCATCACTGCAGGTGAATACCTGAATGTATAGCGTAAAGTACTTTAGGGTCCAAAAACTAGATAAGGAGCTTTATAAGTTCAGGCCATCTGACATTTCATTATTATTGTGCTTCAGAGCCATGAGCTAGGTATATACATCGATGAAACATTGAACAAAAACATTGTGACAATTGTTAAAGCATTTAATATGGTTTAGAAAATGTCGATTCTTTGATTGAGCCTGTACAGAATTTGTTGCTCGTCCAGCTTTTGTCCCCATATAAACTGTGGATCTGTCGGGGATAAGATTTGGAATAGTTACTTACAGAGGAGAGGGCGAGAACAGGTGGAGGTGTGCAGGGTGAGGCACATTCTGTCAGGGAAAGGTCAGCATATCTACATCGGACAACGTCTCCATCAGGGTCAAAGGCCAACAAGTTAATATTTATATAACAATTCGAAGGAACCCTAAAAAGCAACAAACATAAAATCCATTACAGTAGAACATAGTGATATTCATTTATTTGTGTTTAACCAATGTTGTTTTCTTTGGGCCTTAAGTGATCTAAAGGTTAAATGTATACCTTTTATGTTTCTTCATCAAAATGAGTCTTCATACAGACATTTTATCTCACTTCCTACTAGTGTTGCACCGATGCCATTTTTTGGCCCCGATACCGATACCCGATACCTGGTTGCAGTATCGGCCGATACCGATACCATAATAATGTGAAATAATTGCCATCATGGCTTTGTCAAGCTGCTGCCTACCTTTGTGAAGCAGGAAAAAATCTAATACAAAGTGAATCCAGTAGAACTTTTTATTGCCTACCAGGAGTGGGTGACAATAGTTGAATAAACTTATGGCTCTCAAAATGGTATCGGTGCCCTATTTGTTGGTACTCGCCGATACTGATACCACCATTTTAGGGCAGTATCGGGGCCCCGTCCGATACTGGTATCGGTGCAACACTACTTCCTACTATAATCATTAGAGATAAAATTCAAATGCTATATTAAGGTTTATGTGAGGAAAGATTATAACAGTCTTGCCCCACAGAAAGAAGGCCCTGGGTTTAACTTTAATTCAATTCAGAAATGTTTTATTGATCTCATAAGGAGGCATTTTTCAGCAAGTTTTTATAGGTGTTCATAGTTGTTGGCAGGAGTGATCTAATTTAGTTGACATAATTTATTCCTCGTCTTTGATTCAAAAGAGCTTTTATTTACAACATATATACTGAGACAGTCGAATATTAAGCCATTAGTCTGAGCTAGCATGGTTACAGAAATTTGCACAAATGTTGCTTTAAATCAAATCAAGTTTAGAGATGACTTTGTTCTATTTAAAATGTTGAATGGAACATAAGCTTAAGTTTGCTCAGCAGCTTCTCTTTACCCATCTCTGATTTGTCACTGCTATTTACTTTTGCTTGTTTTTCTCTTATGTTTTGTTTATATTCAGCACTGAATTGTCTTGCCAGTGAAATATGTTTATAAATAAACTCACCTTACTGTAACACAGTTTTTATTTGCTCATAAGTGTTTCTTCCATCCTTGCTGTTATTTGTCCAGCTTTTCTATATCTCTGGAATGGGGTTTTATTTTTGTCTTTAACAACCACCTAAGACCATCTTTACCACGTTACTGGGATGTGGATCTTGTTTTCCTGTACACTATGAAAACTTTTTCATTATTTTTTTAATAGTTTTTTTAGCTTGTGTATGTTGGGATCTGGAGGTCTGTCCACCTTTCTTCAGCAGAGGGCGCCCTAGGTCTCCTGGAGCTGAAGCTGACTACCACACCTGCGGCTCGTTTGCTCATCAGGAGACCAGCAGTTAAGCAGTGGTAGCGCTACACTTCAGTGCCAGAGTGTTAAGCCAGTTACGGTTAGCAAGCCTGAGCCAACCAACCTGTCTGATTCTCTGACTCCCCTGAAACCTGAACCAGAACCTAACTTGTTTTTGTCCTCTCTGCTTCCTAGGAAGAACCTGACTGAACCCTGGAACTCTGGAAGAGTTTCTCTGCTGAGACCAGCTGTCTGATCTCAGAAGAACCTTGGAAAGTCAAACTGTCTGAACCTGCCTGCCCGCTCTCAAGAAGATAACTGGAAAGAAACTCTGATCAGAACACTGCTAAGTCTGAAGTCAAGCCCTGCCTCTGCCAAGCCCTCTGCCTACCTTCTGCCTCTGGACCCTCCTGGTTCCCTCCCTCTCCCGCTCAGCCAAAATCACAGGGCCGGTACAGACCTGCATTACTCATCAACAACAGTATTTTGTTTGTGTATATCTGAATGCTTTTGTTAATTATATAGCTTTTTTAATGATTTTTTGGCAGCCATCTTAGATTTAGTCTTAGTTTTAGTCTTCAGGATGAAATCTATTATTAGTTTTAGTCATATTTTAGTAATGACAATATGTGACAGTTTAAGTCGGTTTTACTTGACTAAAATTCTAAAAAGTTTTTTGTGTATTTTTTTTGTTGCACTTCATAAAACAGTTGACCTTTACACTTTCGAAAAACAACCAGATTTTTTAATAGAGTGACAGCTCTTGCCTAGATACTACAATTTCTGGGTATAGGATGCTGCCATGCATTTAATCATTGCTGTTTGGAAAAATAACTTTTTTATAGAATTCAAATAAAATTTATGAATTCATGGCCTACTTTATAAAAAGTGTCTCACAAAAGTTGGGAAAATAGCAGATCTAGTTCAACACATTCTATTGGTTTATATAGCATACAGACAACCTGACAACATGTACAATAAAGGAATGTTTTAGACATACAAGGTTTCCATCTCAAAGCAAACACTTCCTGATCTACTGTGAATTATGCATTACACCAGTGGCGGCCGGCTGGGGCAACGCCCTCCCTGATAAGAAGAGAGAAGCGTAAAATATATTTTTAGAAATTAACTCATAAATGTCAGTTTTACTCTCTAGAGTGTGTACCTATAAGCAAAACAAATTATATAAACTACATTTCCCTATCTACTGTCATTCATTTGTGGATTTCCACAGACAGACTCCTGTCTTGGGGCTGTGATCAGACTGCACCACATTTGCAGAGAATCTGTCAATCATGTACTATTGCTAGGTGAATTTAATGGCCAATCAGCGTCTCAGAACTTTATGGTCTTGGGGCGCTGAAAATACTGCACTTTAACAGGCTTCTGAACCCAAGCGCAGGTGCAGACAATTAGAGGGAAGATGGCGAACGTAACGAGCGAGGTGCATCTTCCACCAAATTCGGTGAGATCCTTATTTATCTACCCGTTTGCCAGAAGAACATCCATGTTGTAGGGTAGGAAAATGTCATCTCATGGTTATTGTGACTGTGACGAATCCACCTTGTCGCTTAAAACTTTGCGTGCCACACACACATTCCTGTTATACTGTGTTTGTGAGGACCAATACACTCGCGCTGAGACCAGTAGCTCAATTAACTTAAAACACACAAGCTGTTCCTGGTTACCTGCTGCGTATTGAGGGTGCACACTTAGTATTTCAGTGAGGTTAGCCGTGTGTGTGTGTGTGTGTGTGTGTGTGTGTGTGTGTGTGTGTGTGTATGTGTGTATGTGTGTGTGTGTACATGTTTATGCTACGGGTCATCTTTCAGTCTGGCGGCGTCTTTGCTGGGTTCAAACCCAGTTTGGTGTAATTGAATAAGTCAATGAATCTGTGTAAAAGAATTAAGTTGTAAAAATTATTTGTTTTTGTACATCAATTGTTTGTGGAGGTAATATATGGACAAAACTGATTTATGACAAGAAATCAGAAATAAGAGAGCCTGAGGTGAGGGGCTTAAACTATTTAATGAGGGCTGTGGGAAGAAAAGCGGCCATTTCTGTTTTCTATTTCTTTGTTACATTGCTGGTAACTAGAGGGATGCTGAGGCCCAGAGTATCTTGTACATGTTTAGTTTCTTTTGCACCCTGTTTTGAGTTTTCGAGCACAATAAATCACCAACACCGGTAACCCGACTGAGCCTGGATTCTTGGAGGCCAAAGAACCCCGTCACAGTGACCAAAATTATCACTGTTACTGTTATTATATAGTAAATTAAATCATTACTGTTAAGTTGTATGTATTGTCCAATTGTTTATTTGAATTCTTATTCCGGATTAGTTGGAGACATACACTAGGCTATATCAGCCCCACCAAAAATATTTTTCACCAGCCGCCACTGCATTACACAAAGATCAATAAAATCTTTATTGCTCCAAAAAAAGAAAAACAAAGAACACAAATTTTCTTCTACTTTGGCAATTTTGGCTTTATTTTTTCAATTTCCCTCTTGGTTACTGCTGCTCAGTGGTCAAAGGAGATTTTAAAATGTTTATCTATGTAAAATAATAATAATAATAATAATAATAATAATAATGCAGAGATAACCTACATAATTGCCTTGTGATGCCACGGCAATCCAGACCTAAAATTCTATATGTTTACTAAAATGTTTAAATATTTAAAGGAAGCAGAGAAAACTTTTTTAATGGCAATACAAGGAAACATTTACATAATATTTAAATAGAGAGAAACGAGAACTATGAGAGAGAAATATTCCAAGATCTATGTACCTTTTCATCTGGCTCTTTATCCAAAAATAAACAGTATACAATTAAACATTTGCTTTGGATATAATTTAGGGATTCCTTTTTGGTAGAAATGAAAGAAGGTTTGGCATCCCCTCTTGTGGGGTGAAAGAATTAAAATATTGCTAGTTAGACAAAAGGATTTGTTGTGCTTTGAAGAAGATTATCAGCCACATACAGTTTATTAGGTAGCAAGGGCTGGAGGAGCCATACTGCTGAGAGCAAACCATCATGTGGAGCATAAAGCACAGAGTCTAAGCTACGCCTCATTTCTGCACAATCATGGCTGGAACAGCAGAGTTTGTCAAAGTTAAGTGTGCAGTACCAGATAATTCCAACTTATTTTCACCCCTGCAGCTGCCACGGTCCATCTGTGGTCATGCGGAATGTGCACTGCTGCATGCCAGGTGGGCGGCTTTACCAAACAGGATGCAGCAGCATGGCTGATACTGCTTAGCAGATTACAGCAAAATGATGATTTGAAAAGCCTGATCGACCACCCACTAACATTTTTATTTAGTGTACTCTTGTCGACGGAAATTCGCACCCATGAGTCGACAAGTTTTCGTCATCAAAGATCCACGTTTAGTTTGTCAGTTTTCGATATTGTAATGAAAAAAAGGAGCGTCAACGTAATAATTTCATCATTGTCATAGTTGACGAAGACAACACTGATTGTCAACATGGTGCCTAAAGGAATCTTACCTCAGGACCGGAAAGGTGTTGGTCTGTGGTGATGAGTTAATTTGCATGGTGTCAGACCTTTCCCTTAGTTCAACGCTAGTTACAGCTCTCCAGGAGTCGATGCCATTTAGATTAGAAAACCAGGTACCACCGGCATATCTGGGATGGATGTTTAGATTAAATGTTTACGTTGTAGACAATGGCCAATAAGTGCAGTTTGGTCTCAAAGAAATAATTTTGATATCCGGTTTAGCAAATCAAGTTTCTTTTGAAAAGACTATCACAAATAATTTTTAAATCCAAATATTGTCATGTTTAAAAGTGGACTCACGAGAGCTGAAAAGGAGAGTTGTTGGGAAGCAGCCGAGTTGTGATTCTTTCAGTCTGGCACCAGGAAGCACTGGACTCAATCTTGGCATTTATTATAATTGTGCTTTCAGTACCACAGTTGCCAGTGCAAGAATATAAATCAACTGTGCAGGTTTGAGAGTTAGACTTAAAATGAAGGATTACCTATAGAAATTTAAGAGGTTAAATCAAAGTTTTAAAGACAAACATACAGATATTTTTAAAATAATCTATACTTACAGAGACTGATCCATTTGAAAAAATTTCCTTTGGGTAGTAGGTCATCATAGTACCATGATAATGAGTGGACTGTATTCCACAAACCATCAGCAGCAGCAGCAGCACAGAAAGTAACATCTTGGACGAGTCTGTGTCTCTACTCAAAACCTGAGTGACTATAAGCCAGGAGTATTTATACTGCCACAGATAGACTCTCTTCCACTCCCTCTCTTCTAACCTGGAAGAGGAAGATTTTCAAGGTAGAGGTTTGACATAAATGAAGACCAGCTTTTAATTTCTTGACAATGATCAGATAAAAACAATTCAAAGACAGAACAATCCAATATTTTTTAAAGAATAAGGAAGTGCAGGGAGTTACTGAGGTCAGTCCTTGGTTTATCATATTTTCTGATTCAATGCCTAGCACAATAGATTAAAATATCAACATCATTTGGCATCTCAGTAAGGCTTTATTTTAATGGCAGACATTAATCTATGTGCTCTTTTGCTGGATGCAGGTAGATGTGCAACTTATTGTTTATTGACTTACAATTTGTTTTCTTATGCCCTTTTTATATTTGCTGTTAGAGGTAAATGTTTTTCAGATGTGAGGGTTTTTATTTTTATAAATTTAGCAAGGTTTGAATTAACCTGGTTAATTCAAACCTTGTTAAATTAAGAGTCGTCACACAAACTTAAGCAATTCAACATGTTTCAGAAATTATTCAGAAACACATTAAATCAGATAACTAATATTTAATAACATGTTATAAATTTCACAAGCTTTTATTCAATGTTTAATCAAACCAAATAACGCCTAAAACAATTCAAACATTGAACCCTTAATTAAAAAGAAAAACACATAGCATGAAGAAAAAGTAAAAAGTCTCCCTTAATTTATATGTCAAATCCAGTTGTCTTGTCATTTACTAGGTAGTATATCGTAGAAGCTAAAGCCACCTTTTTTCAGGATCTGTGGAGTTTTGTAGAAGATCCAAATGTAGAGACGGAAGGCCAAGATGTTGTTTCGCAAATTTAAAGAACAGGTAGATGGTGGAAGCAGTAATCCAGAAAACACAGGCAAAGGACCCAGGAACCAAAACTAAGTGACTCTTGGGAGAAACAAACATAAGAAAAAGAGATTCCAACAATGAGGAACTGAAGGAGTTTACATGGGAGACAGAACAATAAATGGAGCAATCAGCTAATTGGGAGCAGGTGTGGACAGAAGCAACTAGAAGGAAGCTGAGGAGAAAGGGGCTAAAAAGGAAACGGGAAAAAAAAAAGTAACCAGGGAAAACAACAGGCTTAACTGTTACAACAAAATAACTTAAATGAGGCTAAAGGGTAATAAAACTAATGACTACAAAATAAAGAATTATCAAGGAAAAAAACTAGAGGATAAGGCAATAGGACTGGGGATAACAATGGAGCCATGGAAAATATAACCTCAATATAAGAAAGTCAGAGATTGCCTGTATATTTTAATAATTCTCCATGTTTAAATAACCACATGGTTAGGTTATGTACATGAAACAATGAAGTTATAAAGTAAAATACACTAAAACATTATGTAGAAAAGCTGATCACGCAATACTTTTCCACATATTTTTTTTTTCTGAAGAACTGTATTCTATCATCTTAACAACAGCAGAGCTCAACATTTTCTTTGTGAGCTGAATGTTATTTGAATACTAATACTGTTTTAATAGCCACACCTAAATGTTTGGAGAGTCAGTTTAAAGAAATTAGGTTACATGACATTATTTACATAACTCCCACCTGTGACAAGGTGTTACTATGGTTGTAGTGTTCAAAAAGATAAGGTTAAATGAAGCTTTAGTCACAGGAAAAATCAGAAACCAGTTCAAACAGGGAAACTCTTTGCACCATTTGCTGTTAAGAAATCTTATTTTTAAAGTTACTCAACATTGAAATATTCCTTCTGATTTGCCTGAGATGTGATGTTAATTTGCATTGCCAATGGTGGTGGAGCTGAGCTTTAATGATTGGCATGCAGGACTCCACTTAAATAATCACCTACAGTCATTCTAAGCTGACCCTGACATTTTGACAGACTATATTATTTAATAGTAAGAGGGCAATAACAGGAACTATAAAAATGTGATAAACATATGATTAGTTTCAAATGTAATTTTTTTATTGATAATGTGTCAATTATTGTATTTTCGCATTACAATGCATTTCATATGATTTACTAATTTAATTGGCTATTACATTAATTATTTAAAAAGGTATTTCTAAATGCAGCTATTTTATGGTAAATTTAATGTAATATTAGTAATATATATATATTTTTTCATTCTGTTGCCACCAGGCCCCCCTACATATTAGAGATGATATTGTGGGAGGTTTTTCTATATTTCAATTATTGAATTTTACTTCAAGAAACGCTCAGCCACAGTTAATTTGTTATAGAAACTTTAAGTCAGATTTGTCATTCATACTAAAATGTTGATTTTTTTTTTTCTAATTTCCATTTTCGTGATTACAAAGAGTTGACTAAAGAGTACCTTTTAAGCATTTTGGCAAACAAAAAAGTTCAGGACTGAGTCTAAAATGAAGAGACTGAGTCTTTTAATTTTTTATTGATAATAATATCTGCTTGGTTAGCAGCAGTGGAAGCTCTATTGACAGACATGTCTTGCATAGTGTTCACCTGGATGTTTAAGGCTCCTCTGATCTGTGATTGGGCCTTTCATCATATTACTGGTGAGAAAGAGGATTTAGCAAACTCAGCTGTGAGTATATGAATATTTCAACAATATCCTGCTCCTCCTGCAGAGTTAAATGTATTGTGGAGGATTTCCTCAAGACCCGCCTTCTCCCCTTAAAAAAAATGAGCATGCAAGATTATTCACAAGCCCATTTCTCCTTGTGCATGATCTGTTTAAAGGTTTCTGTTCTAACAGCTCATACAAGCTTACTGAGTCTGGGCATCCACCCTAATCCCTCAATCAGAGCAGGGACTATATAGTGAAGTCAGCCAACTTACCATTCGGACAGATGATCACTTCCCCGTTGGTCAACTGTGCTGTACCTGCGCACTCTCTGTTATTAGTCGCCGCTGTCAGGTAGCAGCAGCCTATGGCCACAGCGGGCCACTGTGACAGCAAATCCCATAATGCTTTGCGAGGAGAGCTCTCCGTGCAAAGCATTCTGTGATATGTCTGCCTCTTCTGAGGCCTTTATTTTCTTCTGATACACTTCATAGACACTTTCTTTTCTTCGAATGGTGGAGAGAAAGGTGAGCTTCAATGACTGTTTGAGACCGTAGCTCACCACAGATATACGCCTGAAAGTGCGCATGCACAGAAAAAGATAGCTAACAGAATGACCATGTAGGATCGCCTTACGTAAACATATCACCAGAATGATTGACAATTAGAAGGATCACTTATTTAGATGATCCACCTGGAAAAATAACGTCCTCTGTACCTTTAAGTTGCAGTTAATGCATGTATAGATATTGAAAATAAAAGTTGGACTTTATATTTCCACTACTATTAAACTAGAAATGTGTCCATATCTGTTATTATTTTTACAATGCTTAGTCCATTTCTTAAATGTCAGAGGAAATGTTTGCACAAATACAATTTTGGCTATATTCAGTTAAGTTAAAGTGGTAGGGAAGTGGCTGTTTCAGGGTTGCAGTTCCAAATTCTCCCGAGTGGTGCCCGACTTTATACGAGTGAATTAAAGTGAATGTGATTGGTTGTTTATCAAGGGGGCGAGTTTGTTGTGGAGGGAGGTTTGCAAGCATGTTTGGTTGTGGCCGGTGTCTTGGAAGCCTCTTGCTAACCAGTTAGCAACTTAGTGCTAGTAGGTTCCCAAAGGGAAATTACATTGGGACCAAGTAGCACTTAGAAACGACACTGTCAAGGAACGCCATGGACAGAGGAAACATGCAAGAGGAGGAGAGTTTTGTGTCAGAGGTCGTGGATGAGTCTCTTCCGTCATCCATTTTCTATTTAGAGGAGGAAAGAGGAGGACGAACATGTTGTGGAAGTGGACGCCAGGGCGGCAGAAGCTTGGTTTGATGTAGAAGGCTTACAGTCGTACATGTTTGAGCCCTTGCCTCGCAACGCTTCCAGTTCAGTTAGCTCTACGCCTGCTGAAGACACAGACGTCCATCCCTGTGAACCACTGGGATGGAACTTAATGGTAAAGTAAATTAATTCTTATTTCTTTTTTTAACCGTTGTGTATATTACCTTCGACATATTAATCAAGATGCTATGACCGGAAAAATATGATTGACAGATTACCGTTAATATAGGATTGGCCGAATTTTGGTGAACAAGCTGACGTATAACTAACTGGCCTGCATAAAATAACGAGCAAAAAACCAAACAATTTTAAATAGAAATCTTGTAACTTTTGGGACAATATGGTCTGATAAGGAGTATGTTTATGTACATACATTTAAAATTTAAATGTTACTTCCCTACAACTAATTTGAATAACCCCCTGCTATGAAAGTGTGTTGTTGCAGGTTAGAGCAATACAAGTTTCCTGAGATCTTTAAAGGAGCTTTCCGATTACAGTCTTAAAAACTTTGATGTAAACCAAACCAGCTTTGAGTGTACTTTTTTTTTGCTTCACTATACTGAGCCTCTCGCAGGTCTATGAGCCAACTGATGCAAGTCCAGTGCCAAAGGCAGAGACGTCAGCATATAGTTTGCAGCAGGAAGTTGCAGGAGCCACTGAAACAACAGATGTAAACCACAAATACAAGAGAAAAATATATTTACATGTAAGGTTGGGCAAGGCAAGTTTATTTGTGTAGCACATTTCAGCAACAAGGCAATTCAAAGTGCTGTACATCCTGAGAAAGGGACTGAATTGAGGTGGAAGACTAAAGCAAATAAGATGCAACTCAAAAATATATATTTTTTTACAAACTTGAATTGAAAAAAATTCAGAGTTGCAGCACTTCTTGAAGTTTGTTGCAGAATACTGGAGAAATAATATCTACTTGTCCTTTTTTGTTCTGGTTTCCAGGATGCAGAGCAGAAAAAAAGAACTAAGAGCTTTAGAAGGTTGATACTTTGACAGCAAATTGATAATGCATTTAGTGTCTAAGCTTTTCAGTACAACATAGTCTAAGTGAAGTATTTGGGCACGGGT